AACGCCTCGCGTTATTGTACCATTGTGAAATTTGGGCAGTGCAACCTGAAGGTGCTTTTAGGTATGAGTGTCCGTGAGAGCATGTCGCCGTCACCACCATCGCGCCTACGCCCTCAATCTACTTTCCCCCTAAGTTCAAACTCTGTGCAGGACAGAGATCTTTACTGAGACCCACAGAATGACGAGCTTCCAAGTATGGCCAAGTCCACTCACATTCGAATATGCATAAAGTGGGCTGAGGCGCTCCATGCTTAACGCTTATGAACCTCTAAGATTATTGAGCAGGCAGTTACTCTCCTTCGGCGCCTGTGTTACTCGTGAAGTTTCACTAAAGTACGCGAAATATAGCCGTCCAGTTATCTCAGAAGCCGTGGCGTTTCCCCGCGGTCGTTTGGCGTAACGGTTCCTTGGAGTGCTTGTTGTACTACCCGTAGCGGACATCTCCATCCACCTCGTCCGCGCACTAGCATTACACTGGGCGGCGGGTGGGATTTTCCTGTAACTTGTGACTTTTTTCTAGGTAGCCAATTGGCCACGTCTGAAGGTGTTACCGCTGCATGTTCCGTGACCTTGGCGGATCTGAGGGCCGGCTTATTTCGCAACCAACTTTCTTTGAAGGCAGTTCTACTATTGGCCGTCTGTGGATGCGCCGGCTAGGCCAGCTACCAGGCCGCTGGAAGCAATTTGGTGTTTCTGCCAGTAGGTGTCTTCTGAAGTTAGGTATATATTGGCAGGCCGGAAAAAACACACCTTCCTCGAGAGCCAAACCGAGGGAGCGTCCGCAGGTGGTGGTTAGTGGGACATCTCTCCGGTACTTGGAATCTCGGGTCGAAATTAAAAAACAAATTGGACGTGTCTGAGTAATGACGCCAGAGCGGACTGCTTGTCGATCTAATAAATTAGCGACTGCAAAAGGCAAGCCGAAAATCATAGTAGTTTTATGGCATTGCAATCGTTACTTATCAGAAATTAAGCCTTTACCTGAGCATTTCGAATTCTGTCCACAGGTGGAGTAGGACTATGGAGCTCTCTCTGATTTCATCTTCTGATTCCTTCGTGGTATTTCACCACAGTTTAATCGGTGGCCATACTTCCGACAGGAGTCTACTTTGACTGTTCCTTGCCGAGCCTATTTTCGCTCATTCTGTCCGAGTCGGTGTCATGTCCTTAACTGAAACAGTAAACGGGCCAGACCCAAGGATCGAGATGAGCCCGACGTACTGTGATGCCATAAACTCTGGCGCAACATTGATGCTAGTCTAAATAGACGAAAGTGCGTTTTTCTGTAGTCAGCATTCTTTGTGTGGATACGAATCCCGAGGACAACAGCTAAGAATAGACATGCATCTTTAATCTTCCCCGTCACTAATTATCATCACCTGCATTATAGCGCCTCGTAGTCAGCGCTTCGCGCGTACATTCGAATCACATGGTGTCTTTCAGTTGCCGTAATTAGAGGGCGTTTCTACGCCCACACGTTCTTACCGTGTCACCAACGAAACAAAGCCACATACTTTCGGTTGAGGTCATCAGTTCGCACTCCGCTGTGAGCACCTTTTGCACTACGACCTTGTGGGGTGGGGTTTAATCTATTTTGCTTTAAAGGACCTGTTTATTTATAACCTAGTACCAGGCAGTGAAGTAGGCGCTTCTCCAGCCTTCATCGCAAGGGCTTGTATTAAAGGCTGTTCTCGTCTGTCTGCCTGTCTGTCTTCGGCTTAGATCAACTACTACCGAGGCTTTGGGAGCATCCAAAGCCTCTGACTTTGTCTATCTTTGGACACTCTCCGAAGAAGCGTGTAAACAATGTGGGTGCTGTTTGTGGAAGGCTTCCCTCTGTTAGCTGCGGATATCGCAGACCATTGGTTGGATACACTCTTGGTACGCAAGAGGGAGCACTGTTTAAGCTAGGTGAGACCAGAAAATGCCCTTAAGGGCACTTTCATCATCACCAGTTCGCCTTACCAACGGCGCTAATCAAGACTACCACAGTCGTCGCCACCGCCACTTGGCGGAGCTGGACCTTTAATCATCGCCTGACCACCTGACTGGCGAAATCGGATCACGTTCGCAGAGCACAGTACGATAGGCGCCATTCAGGGTTATATCGGTTAACCAGCCGAAATCTCGTTCGTGTAGACAGCCGTCCAACGCAGACGCGACTACAAACCAACACACTGCTGAACTAGTAGTCCACCTTGACTCCTGAACCCAGTCAAGTTATGATCGCACAGTTTCGGTGGATGCCTGTGAAAGTCCCCACGAGATCGCAAGACAATGGGTGTGAGATAGGGCGCCGTCTTCTAGCTAAACCAGGACTTTTATTTACCCAACTGCGATAAGACTCCCCTGATAATCCTTGCCTCCAGCCACTGCGTTTCGCCTTTCTCCCTTAAAGTTTACATACAGTAGATGGGCTAACTCGTGAAATGTGAACAGAAATTCCGAAATGCGTTTTCGTTCCCAAAAGATTAGTTAAGTAGGCTTGTGAAACTAGTCAGCCTGCAACGTAATTCTATAATATTTCAGTTACCTCAGAATGCCGGCTTTCGAATGAACTTCCTTCCGGCTGCATGCAAAACCTGTAGTCTGTAAAATCACTACTTAAGTAGCATGCATTTTTCTCATTGGTTTTCGATGTCCCTAAAAGTCCAATTATATTACATGGAAAACATGTATAAAAGTGCTCCTTCTTTTGCTCATTTTGTAGATAATTACGTCTTCCAATTTTGTACTCGAATGAGCGACATAATTCGGTTTTTAAAAACTTCCCATTTCCCAATAATTTTGAACCTGCTCTACCATTACTCTTGGATTCAGGGTTTCCAAACTACTCACCGCATATTTTCCGCTTACGGAAAACCACACATTGCTCCGCGGTAATAAAGGGGGACCATATGGGGTTCATAAAATTTAGCAGTGGATTTGATTCATATTGTTAACTTTACAAGCCACACTGGCAAATACAGACACATGACGTTTTACGAACGGCCATCTCACGGGATTAAAAAATCTCACAGTTATAAACTTTGTTAAAACCAAATAATACCCTTCCTTCGAGTATGAGGTTGGGAGAAGACGTAATTTTCTACCGAATGAGCATAGGAATGAATATTTTGTGTATTTTTCCATGAAATATATTTGGACTTTTAGGACATCGAAAATCAATTAGAAAAACGAACGATACTTAAGTAGCCACTTTTTACAGAGTGTTGTTTTTGCATATAGTCGAAAAGAAAATCGTTCAAAAGCCGGCATCCTGTGGTAACTGAATTATTATAGAATTATACTGCAGGCTGGTTAGTTTTACAACCCTACCTAATTAATCTTTTCGAAACGAAAACGTACTTCGGAATTTCGGTTGACATTTCATGAGTTAGCCCACCTACTGTAGGTCATACAGCCACCTCCAAGAACCTACTATACATAGGGAGACTCTCAAACAGTCAGATGAGGCGGTTATCCAGACAGTTTATTGACAAATACGAGTAGTCTGAAGTGGTTCTCATCTGCCTTGTATTATTGATAGTCAGGCGTGTCCCGAATACCTTCCGAGGAATGGGCCCCCACCTGGGGGTTAGTTTTAGTCTATCACTGGCAATGAAGTCGCAGTATTACGTATTACTGCTTGCTAATGGGACTACGGACTTTGCTTATCTATCTGCCCAACTGCAGTCCAAATGCACTGGTACCGCAACACGAGGGCCTCTTTCTCGAACGTAAGCGGATCTTCCGTCGCTGAACATTTGACGACCTCAGCGACCCCTAGTCACTGTAAAGAACTTTTTCGAAGTTCTTCCTGAAGGCTGTGGAAGACGCTGATTGTGAACAAAATTTTTGCCTCCTTGTGTAAACCGCCACCAGAATTGACTTAGCTAGCTCGAGTAATACGAATGAGTGTTGTCCGTGCAGACGACGCCTCCTTCTGATTGGAGACCCCAACTCTCAGGATGAAGGCATTTTTGATGGTAGGTTGCGGTCGGAGTACTATGATATCAGATGGCTTGTTCACTTCTCTGGCACTTTTCCGTCTGCACACTGAATTTTTGCCCTTACAGTTTGCAGTGGTTGCAACCACTGGGGAGACTTTTGACTTATTAGTCATCATAGACGCCAGACAGTCTTCAAATGGGCTAGCACTCAAGGTACAGTTTGCCTGGAAACCACCCGTGAGAGAAGGGTCGTCTCCATAAGACTGCCTGCGAGGGCCCTAGATACAAGGCCCCAAGGCTAAATGCAAGCACCGTCTTCCGTCCTGAAATCTAGATCACTTGGCGAACCCTGCTCTCCCGATGTTAGTCGAGAGCACCTGAGCCCGTGGCTCAGAATTCCCAAGGACCAGTTGGCCGCCGTTCAGTCCTCGCGTCTTAACGGTCTCTGGTTAAGGTATGACTGGTGACGGGGCCCGCCCTTATTGTTGTTGTTGGTGACACCTCTCCAAACTTAACCCTATTCGCTACTGACTGCATCGAGTAGCTTTCAGGCAGACCGGTAATCAAAACCCACCCTACTTGTCTACCTGCACCCTTCTCAGACAACTAAATCTAAATGTTTTACCCGGCCCTATAAAGGCAACAGCTTTGTCGTCAACCGACAATGCAGCCTAGTGGAGAACTAGTGACTCTTCGTAAGCGTAAGTACCAGTGCTGACCATATTTTCTCATCATCCTTCCAGGACGAGCAGCGTGCCCGAAGAGCAGCCGAGGGCCTCTCTGCAGAAGACGGTGGAATGGAAGGAGACGATTTGGGGGTTCGTGACTTTGCCGGCGAGCAGTTAAACCAACGCCTACTCTATCGTGACCAGACAGACGCCTATCTACAATCAAGACACGAAACAGTACGCACCATCGAGCACACCATCGTTGAGCTGGGTCAGATTTTTCAACAGCTCGCGACTATGGTAAGTAGTGTTCAGTTGTTTTATTTATCAAGCAACGCCAGCTCTCTCGCCTCGCCTTTGTTCTCCCTAGCTGTCCGCTAGGCACACTGTTTTCCCATGTAATGCGTATTAACAGTCTGTAACCCCTGAAAAGGACTAATTGTAGGACGAAATGCGGGCATTCCGTTTTGCCCTGGAGTTCCCGTCCATATCCCTGACAACCGGTCGTAGAACGGTCGGTGACAAGTACTGATAACAGTTCGGCTGGCGCAAGCGACGGCTTTCACCGTATGGCGCAGCGCCGTTGACTTGCGAAGCGTCTATCGCACTCGTTCCCCCCACCCGCCTTGCTCTGATGGCAAGGTCAAAACAAGTGAAGATGGGTGCGTGCGTGCTGTGTAGCAAAGTTAGACAGCCTGTTATCTTTGATGCATTTTCCGCTAGAGCAAGTGGTTATCTCGGCTGGTGAACCCCTCACATCCCTTGGGTGGACGTGTACTCGGAACTTGCAGTCCATCTACAAACTACCGACGGCTCATGTGTCACCGAAGGTCACCCTCGTTATCCAGTTTACTAGGCAGGTAATCTTCACTGGTTGATGACGGAAACTAAGTCAGGGATGGCCAGTTCTTGTCGACACAGCACTATTGATTGCTAGCTGCCATGTGACCGCCTGTATGGTATGTGAACCCTCCATTTCCGTGCAAAACGGAAATGCCCAATTCCGCCCTGTAGTCTGAGTCAATCGGTACGCGCCACTCCCATGTGATTAAATATTCACCACTTCCGGCAACACGATCTCTCAACCCGTAGCTCAGAAGCGAAACCCTTGTCCGACTGACAGACTGTATGCGGGCCAGAAATCAGCATCCCGTTGTCACTGTCGGTAGAACTTGGTGCAATTTCCACGGCAGTTTGTAATCTGACCGCCGAAGGGTTTCCGGCCAAATCACAAGCCGTGTCCTCGAACCTGAGGCTGAAGACGACACCATCCCGGTGGTCTGACAATGAAGAAAGCGGCAGGAACCAGGACTCGCCATGCCATTTCAACGGTCTTAGCCTATTCGCTGGTCCGATGTGTTGTAATTTCTGATCCTCCCATCGGCTAAAAACCATGCTGCGGCTGTAGCAGATCCGTTTGCCGCCTCTTCTATCCGTTTACGTATCGTCTGATTATTTGTGTACTGATACGTAGTCTTTTAGGCCTTCAACTAATGGCGTTCTTGTCTTTTCTCGCGTCAATCCAGGTGCATGAACAGGAGGAGAGCGTCCAGCGCATTGACGCCAACGTCGAGGACGCAGTTGCCTCGGTAGAGGCCGGCCACAATGAATTGTTGCGTTACTTCCGCTCCGTCAGCTCCAATCGTTGGCTGATGTTTAAAGTCTTTGGCGTACTGTTTGCCTTTCTCCTCTTCTTCCTCATCTTCGTTGTGTGATGCGAAGGAGACAGGACCCTTTTGGGTTCGACTGTCATGACCCCAGCCTCTGCCTCTATCATCCAGTCTTTCGGTCCCGCCACCTCCTTCAGGCCTTGGCTGCCGTCGGCAGATGACCATCTTGTGTTGCCTCCTAGCCCCTCTTTGTCACCCCCCCCCCCCCTAGACCCACTTCGGACCTCGTGCCATGGCCGGCGCAAGTTAGCAACACGGAACTTGGCCATCGGACAGCGCACAACTGTTTTTTTATATTTTCACCATGCTGATTTTATCTTCTTCTACCATACCGCCTCCTCCATCGTCCGTTTTCTTGCTCCGGCTCTCTCCCTGTCTTCCCTCCTCCTCCTCATCTTCATCTAAAATTCTTCGGCCAGATTGATCTCCTTCGCTCCGTCCCTTCTTCTAACACGTCTTTTGGCTGCATATTTTTGCGTGGGCGGTAATCGCATTTCACGTGTGCGCGCATCATGCGTGTGTTTCCACTGCTCTTGTTTCCACTATCGCTTCGTGCGCTACCGAATTGCGAGGCCGGAAGTCTTAAGAGGCGTGGTGGTCATTGGGGCACACCACCCCCCAATGGAATCGGTTTTGCCTATTGGCGTCCGCTTAACAGCTCGCCATGCCGCCCAACAATCTGTGTTCTGCTCTTCCCACTACTACCGCGCCATCTCAGCCCGTGTCCCCGGAAATCGGCGATTAAAGTAGCCCATGACACCAGTGCGCGGGCTTTTCATCGTTTACCCGCTAGTCAGTCTAGTGGCTTACGCCATTTACCGATCCTGTCCGACAGACGCTTTCGGAGGGAGAAGTTTGCAAGTCAGGCCGCTGAGCGGGGGCGGCCTGCCAGTTGTTTTCTGCGAAGCTTTGTGTATTCGACTTCCCGGCTAGGTCAACCG